TAGCTTGCCAATAGTGTTTTGGTAATGAAGTAACTGGAACAATATTTGAGTATGAATGGTGTGACGCTCCCCTCTAGTGGTAAATGGTCTTATACTTGTATAGCGCCTTTCTACACTTTTACAGCACACTCAAAGCACTTTCACATTATTCGTCCATTCACCCATTCACACTCCCAAGCACTCACGCATTCACACACCGGTGACATCACCGGGAGCAACTGGGGGTTCAGTGTCTTGCTCAAGGACACCTTGACATGTTGACTGGACAAGCCGGGAATCGAACCGTGGGTGGTACATAGCTATAAAACGGATTTAACTACACTTATGTAGGCCTATAATACATTAATAAACTACAGATTGTGTATCCTATGCGATAACAGTATACACAGACAATGTTAAATTACATTTAGTTGGTGATCCTGGAAAAAACAGGATGAAGAAGCTAAATTCTGAAAGTATCCAACCGAAGAAATCCCACCCATTCTTTCTGACTTCTCTCCAAAACACAACACACACTGCCTGACTACTACTTACAGATTTCAGGTAAATAACAAATGCCCCCCAAACAAAAAACAACAAAAAAACAAGCAGAACCAGCAGAAATATGGCCACCATGGCGTCACTTTTCAGCCCCTTTTGTTCACTCGGCTGTCGCCATCATTCAAAAGCAAAACCAATGTTAATTCTGGTTTTATTTCTTGCATTACTTATTGTTACCCGCCCAGATCTGTGGCCACAAACCATATTTGGGTACCCTTGGTTCATGCCTAAGCTGTTTTAGTCCTTGCTCGTAACCGGTAAATAGTCTTAGAAGGCCAGGCTTTTTCGGTGGGGAGAAATGAAGAGGGAGGCCAGCTAACTCAGTTCAAAATACAGGCTTTATTCTGTCTTGGTAACATGAGCATGTGGCCTTTGGTGCCCAGTTAATTGCCTTACAATCCTATCTATACACTTAGAGCTGACTACTCTTGGTATTTTCCCCACCTGTAGCTGCTGTTCTGTGCAGCGGTCTTCTCACTCTCATAGTGGTAACAATAACATTACCTATAAGGCCATATGTCTTATAGGCCTGTAACAACAGTCTCCGTTTGTGAACCAAAACTGCTGTGGGTACCTTCTCTGCCATAGCTCACTAGCTTTAGCCATCAAAACAGAGCAGTAGCATATCTGCCTCAACTGCAATTCCTTGTGGGAGACTCTTGGCTTGTGCTTTGAGTCCAGGGGCAGAGTGTATGCAAATAAGAAGTATGCTGACAGACAGGTAGGCCATCCAGGTGGTTTTGCTTTGGATGAGTAAAATCAGACTTTTTCAGTCCTGTTGCTGCCACAGATTACAGATTTTTCTCCTTAATGTTGTAATGTGACGATTCACTGTGGTGACCCCTAAAACGGGAAAAGCCGAAAGTGACTTTCATTGTTGTAAGTGCATTTAATGTATTCATTTCCATCGGGATGAAAAGAGAAGTTCAAGATATGTAACAAAAAATGCTTCTGATAAAAACCAGTAACACTACCTTTAAATAATCAACAGATTAATCTTTCTAGCAACAATTTGCTATTTTTGAACAACATTGAAGCACAGAGGAATGTGTTTATGGTGTCTATTGACAACAAGACGATGTAGAAATGTTATCATTTAAGTAAAATATATAACTACTTCCTCCACCACTAAACTACAAACCATAGGATAGGATAGGCTAGTGCTGGATTTATAGCCACACTGACAGGAAAACTTAGTAAACGCACATGACAAAACACTTAAACTATAAAACACTTATGTTTAATACTAACCTATCAAACTATCATAACAAATGAACACTCATAAGTTGCTGTTATAGAAGATGAGCGAACATCTTCTATAACAGCTAACAACAAGAATGACGACGTCACGTATGGAGGACGCGCTCGAGCCAACACCACGCAAGTTCCAGTGTTGTCAACTTGGCGACTTTCTCGCTAAATCTGGCGACTTTCCAAATCCTCTTGGCGACTTTTTTTGTCAAAAGCGACTAGCGACAAATCTAGCGACTTTTTCTGGTGTTATTTGAGACTTTTTTGATGTTTTGGAGACTGACGTGAAAGCACGTATCACCCTGCAGTTACTGTCCTCAACGAGCAGCGGGTGCTGCTGTGAACCCCTCCGCGTCCCAAAGCACTCACGGACGGTCCCAGCTGCAGAGGAGATCCATACCGCTCCTCGTTCAGATTGCAAATGAATTGCGCATGCGCAAAGCCGCCGCTGATCTCGCCCTGTCTTACAGAGCTGGATGTAAATGTAAACGTTTCTTCAGTATCACACTAAAATAAATCACATTTGACTCAGCCTCAGTCACTTACTCACCTCGTCCATTGTGTTAGTGATGGGAAGTTCGGATCATTTTACTGATTCAGTTCTTTGAATCTCGTTCAGCAAAACAAACGAATCTTTTTTCGAGTGATTTGGGTCACTTCAGCAGAATGTAATTACAATGTTACATGTTAATTCCCCATCTGCTTACGCACATATTCATCACCTTTCGAAAAAGAACTATAATGCAGCCATGGTCATATTATAAGAAATATCGTACCTGTGTCTTGAGGCTATGCGCGGTCAACACAAAATGAACGAATCATTCCCCGAGACGACCCGATGTTCTCGAGTCATGGAAAAGATTCGTATAAAATGAACGAATCGTTCGTGAACGACACATCACTACACTTGTGTGTGCGCCTCTCTGTGACATAAGATAAACATCTAGCTAACTAGCTAGATGTCTCAGACTAAACTGTACGTTCAAAAATACAGAAAGGCGTGGGAATCAAACCCTGAATTCAAAGGCTTTGAAGGGGACTTGCATGTATACTTCAGGGTGAATTTTATTTTTAGTTTTTAATTTTACTTACAATATCAAGCTTTATGAAGCAACACGTTTGTTCCCTTATAGTTAAAACAGTAGAATTGGCCAGTTCTCTGAATGGTTTCTATTTTTTTAATTGTGTTGCTCTGTTTGGACATGTCAGCAATAACACAACTGCACAGTCACTTGAGAAGAAGATATTCCCAGCCCTAAAAGGTGTTTTTGCAGAGAGATTATTCAGCCAGATAAGTGTGGTAAAAAGCTAATTTAGAAATCAAATGTCCTTGTAGACCCTTAACTCCACCCTATATGTCCATATGGTCTGAAGTTGTCTGGTGAGGCTTGCTATGAGCACAAGCTGCAATATCACGTGAGTTTTTTTTTTTTTTTTTTTTTTTCACCCACTTTACAGACACCACCACTACATTTTGTATTATTACTTGTTCTGCTTTTCATTTTGTATGCGTATTAAAGTTCTATTTTTGAAAAAAAAAACAAAACTTTTTTGCCTTTTTCTTGAAGTAAATATATATGGGTCAGAAACACCATAGATGTTACTATGTTAATAATATTAAAATAAAAAGGAATAAAACAAATCTTTTTAAAAGGTGTGTTCTAACACCCCTCAGTAATAGTTGGGTAGCATAACAACCTTTAATTTATTGAGTTGAATCGTCTCCCTGGTCATTCTTACAGTTTCTTCTTGTACCTTCTGCCATCCGGTGGCCAGCTCTTTATATCCGGCGGCCACCTCTCCCAAACCTCTGGCTTTTTACCTTTTATTTTATTGAAAACAAGAGATATGGTGTTAAAAGGCCCAGGAGGCCACACCAAAAGTATTAGAACCGTTCTTTTCATGGAGGAAAAAAACCTAACAAGATAACCAAGCAGTAAGACACCAATTGGATGATAAGTAACTGTTTTGAGGGTATTTTCTGGCACGGGTCAAAACTGAGCCATTAACATAAGAGAGAGTAACAGAAAGCTAACATAAGAGGAAGGCTAACCCACGCTGCTGAAGCCTCATATTAGCCCTGTCTAAACTTCAAAATGCACTTTTGCTTGAAACAAGGATGGATTACATCCCCAATGTTTTAAGGTTGGTACAAAGAAATCACTTCATTTTAAATACAAACAGGATGATTCAAAAAAATTCATTCAAAAACAATTAAAAACACACTGGTGAAACACATCGCTACACTGGGTGACATGTTTCAAATGTTGACTTAGTAGGCTTTTCTAAAGAGTAGGTGGGTAGGTGGATGGGGGGAGCAGGTCTTCTGGTTTTGATGTTACTTTATTACATTCATCACGATCATACTTTAAGTTCGGATCAATGCCAAAATCTGCTGTGATGCCTCACTGGACACAATGTTGAATCCCTCTCTCTGTCAGATCTGCAAGAATTGCAAAGTCCTGGGAATCAGAATTCAATAAAATGTTTACAGTATGCCGGGGTAAACCCTCAAATCAAACTTTCAAATTACAGTTTTTAGGTAGAGCATGCTTCTAGCTTGTTATTCTTATATGGAGCAGGTGTTTATCTATGTGGTGTAACCTAAAATATTTTAAATTGTGCCCGTTTCAAAATGAAGCATGAATTCTCCAAATCCAAATACTGACCTCATCTTTTATAGAGCACTGAGGTATCTGATAACATGTTGTCTGATAACATTAGAGACAAATAGTCTCTTTTTTCTTGAATGTTTATTGCTTTGCCCACTATTCCACTGCCTGCTGCCACTACAACTACTGGTAAAGGTAAACATGTAGAGATATTGTGCAATGGATAGCTCGAGTGTATAGCTAGCTACAGAGACCAGTCGTGGAAGAAGAACTCAGATAGTTTAATCAAGTAAAATTAGCAATAACACAAAGTAAAATACTATATTCAAGTAAAAGTAAAAGTTGTGGTTTAATGTTTTTTTTTGAGTATGAATTCAATATGAATTTCCAGGAGAGGGGCCTTCTTCATTTTCCTCTGCTCTCCTGGCAAGAGTCCCTGTGAAACAACAAAGAGGGCAAAAGTTCTGATCACACATGGATATGTGTTAATAAGCCATGTAGATGTGATGTTCTGTATACTGTGAGGTATTACAAGAGAAAATTGTGAGGAATTCGAATATGCTCGTTATTGTCATAGATTGAATGGTTTTTCGAACTTTGTCGCAATCCCGGATCCGTTCCGCGACCCATCTGGCCATGGCGCCGTAGGCATCGCGGGGTTGGAGCATCGCCCTGGTCATGCGTAGTCGGTCCTCACGTTCCCTCTGCCATCCGGTGGCCAGCTCTCTATATCCGGCGGCCACCTCCTCAAGCCCTCTGGCCACCTCCTCACTCCTTCTGGCCAAATCTCTAACGGTTTCCATATTTTCTTTCGGAAAGCTGTGTAAAAGAAAGTATGTTTTATCTTATCTCATTTTCTATACCGCTTAGTCCCAACGGGGTACACCCTGGACAGGTCGCCGGACCATCTCAATCTGGTGGCCACCTCCTCAAACCCTCTGGCCAGATCACTTACAGTCATCTTACTTTCCATTTTTTATTACTGAAAGTTGTGTAAAAGAAAGTATACTTTATCTTATGATCTCAGTCCCACCGTGGACAGCTATATTTTATCTTAAATATAGTGTTTTATTTACCTTATGGTAGCGATGATAGCGTCGATAATGTTATTTTATAGGAGTATTAATTATTCATTAATTTCCAGGAGGAGCCTTCTTCGTTTTCCTCTGCGCTCCTGGCAACAACACAAAATAAAATACTACATTCAAGTAAAAGTAAAAATTTTGGATTAATGTTATATTATTGGAGTATTATTATTATTGAAGCATTACTTATTCATTCATTTCCAGGAGAGGAACCATTTTCATTTTCCTCTTCAGTGGGCTCAGTCTCTGCAGTCCTGTGTCAGGTATGCTCCGTGCCACCTCTCTCTCCTCTCCCTGCTCTCTCCCTCTCCACTCTTCTCTTGACAGAACGAGGCAGACCAGGCTTACGGCACAGCTGTTTTCTATCCCAGCTGATTAGCACCACGCCATAAAACCGTCAGACGAACACCACCCCAGTGCCGGTTCGTTCTGTGTGGAATACGCAGCAGATAGAGGACAACACCAGCTTCTATAATCAGTGTTTCTTTCTGAAGTGAGACTGATCTATTACCTGTGACATATCTTCTCCTTGCACCCCTACCTTTGATCGCACGACAAGGGATCATGGCTCCAGAGATTATCGGCGCCCCCACGCCGTCTCCCTCCCTCTCCACCTCTGACCAGCGCCTGTCGCTTCCCCGAGGCGGAGTTACAACGGTGCACCGGCTTCTCCACCCTCTGGCAGATCTCCGTCTCCCCACGTCTGTTTAAGTCTCCATAATCAGGCGCAAACGGCCCAGCTCATCACCTGCCCTCTCATACCCTCTGGCCAGATCATTCCATGTCATTGGCTCCATTTCCACTTGGTTCTTCTGAAAGTTGTGTAAAACAAAGTATGCTTTATCACATCTCATTTTCTATACCTTTAGTGTTCCTGTGCAGCATGTTGATTCTGATTTAACACCGAGTTAAAACGTAGTCAATGAATAGGGTCGTAGCAAGATCAAAACATTTACTGTCCATTCTTCATATAACATCACGGTAAAAACTGCAAATAAGCAATACAATAAACATTGTGTCAGTTCTGCTTATTTGCCCAATACTTAAACTATAAATGGTGGTACACTTCAACACGCATACACACGTTCAAATGCATCTTATCAGCTAGCTTATGCACAACTGTAAATAAACTTCCTCAACATCGCATCTAACTCTAACACAATCGTAGCAAATGTTAACTATGCTATGTCAACTGACACATATAAGAATTTACAGCATTACTTCGATCATGTTTCCTAGCGGATGAGAATGGATACACATGCCACAACCAAGAGTCTTACATCCGCCATTTTTCTTCCTAACAGGAAGTAACATCACCACTCGGCGCCAATTAATAGGTTTAGCGTTATCATTACTTTTTACATATGTATTTATTAACCTGGCTCTTCACCAAAAAATAGATAACTTAAAATAATTAGCTAAATAAATGCCTTAGAGGCAACACAATACCGCTTAGTCCCGAATGGGGTACACCCTGGACAGGTCGCAGGACCATGTCACGGCTAAGCGCAGACGAACAACCACACACACACACACACACACACACACGGGCAATTTAGAGTCTCCAATCCAATCAACCTAAACCGCGTATCTTTGGACAGTGGGAGGAAGCCGGAGTACACGGAGACAACCCACGCAAACACGGGCAGAACATTTTTTTCCCCTGGCGCAGAAAATGGGCAACAAACTCCGGTTACACATTTCACCTGAATAGGTGATCGGCACTGAACAAAACCAACAAATGGCAGGACAACTGATAATGTTTTGCAGCTTTTTGGCACATCAGCTGCTTACTCGTTTAAGTCAGCTCCCTCAGTTGCTGAACCTGCTATAGAAAGATGACCTACTCTTTCTGTGAGCCAGCACAGCGTGTGTGTGGAAGGGGGTCTGAAAAAAACAAACAATAAACCTGAATTAGGGCCAGACTAGTTACCACCATTTTCTCAGATTGCCATTGACAGTTTTTTCTGTTGTCTCTTTTTGGTCCACTTAGATTGTTAATGTTGTAACTCTGCCAGAGTGTCTGTTTTGGGTCACTTTGCTGGTCCCAAGCCCGGATAAAGGAGGAGAGATAGACATAGAGCTAGCAAATACATCCCACATAACAGTCTTTTGATTAAATTTGATATTCTAACATTTAACAATACAGGGCAAAATTGATTTATGCAATGTGGGTCTAGACAAAGCATTAAAGTCATAAAGTTATTTTGAGAAGTGATGGCCTATTTAAATGGCAAAATAAAAATAAAAAACAAGCATCAACAGAAGTAAGTTCATTTGTAGTTCTAAACATATTGTTAGGTAATTTCTTAGATAGATATTGATGAGAGATCTGTTGTATTAGAAAATGTTAGTCTAGCTCAGGCTGTTAAATGCTTAGTTCATTGTCATGAGCTTGCTGCAGGCTGCATGTGGGCCCCAAGGTCAACTAGATTGAAGAGTCTGCAGGCAGGATGAATATTGCTAGTAGCATGATATGTTACCTGAAGTATACTTCAAAGTGTACTTTCATAAACTTAAAGTGGGCCAATTTAGTCCCAAGAAGTATACTTGTTAGTAAACTGCTAGTACATTTGAATTAGTGTACTTGCAACCAATATCAAATACAGTTATATTCTTATCTACACAACCATAACCATAGGCGTGTACACAATGTAACTTCTGTTTGTTTATCTTTTCAGCTGCGGTTAACCACAACCACCTGATCTCCAGCTGCAGATACGTCATGACTTCCTTATCTTCATCAGCAGATACAGGGGGGTTGGAGGGTACACCCAAGGACCACGTGGGGGACCACATGGAGACCACGTGGGACCGGAAGGTGGGACTAAGGACCAAAAGAACGATTCTGATTGGCTGAAAGGAGGGACAAAGGGGGCGGGGCCACCTGTCAAATTATGTTTGATGGAAGGTGTCACATTTACTGTGTGTCACAAGCTGCCTGATAATGTTTTGCAGCTTTTTGGCACATCAGCTGCTTACTCATTTAAGTCAGCTCCCTCAGTTGCTGAACCTGCTATAGAAAGATGACCTACTCTTTCTGTGAGCCAGCACAGCGTGTGTGTGGAAGGGGGTCTGAAAAAAACAAACAATAAACCTGAATTAGGGCCAGACTAGTTACCACCATTTTCTCAGATTGCCATTGACAGTTTTTTCTGTTGTCTCTTTTTGGTCCACTTAGATTGTTAATGTTGTAACTCTGCCAGAGTGTCTGTTTTGGGTCCCTTTGCTGTCACTTTGCTGGTCCCAAGCCCGGATAAAGGAGGAGAGATAGACATAGAGCTAGCAAATACATCCCACATAACAGTCTTTTGATTAAATTTGATATTCTAACATTTAACAATACAGGGCAAAATTGATTTATGCAATGTGGGTCTAGACAAAGCATTAAAGTCATAAAGTTATTTTGAGAAGTGATGGCCTATTTAAATGGCAAAATAAAAATAAAAAACAAGCATCAACAGAAGTAAGTTCATTTGTAGTTCTAAACATATTCAGGGTGTTTTTTACTCCTTGTCTCACGACGTTATTCCTCTCTCCTACAGCGTCCATTACAATTACTCACAAATAAACCATTATGCAAAAATTGGCGATGATGTCATTTAGCGACTTCTAGCGACTTTTAGGACAGCCAATAGCTACTTTCCTTACTGAGAAGTTGGCAACACTGCACGCGACAGGGACAGAGAAGATGGCGAACATTTTAGAAACAGAGGAGTTACGGCTGTGAAGGAGAGGTTCGGTATGCATTTTCTTTTTATAACGAGTCTTTCATACTACACGTGTAACAGTATAGCCGATTATATATTTGAATTTGTTTAAACATATCCAGCAGCTTGGTTTTAAAGCCCAGTCGGACCCTGGGAGCTGACCTCCGGCTAACGCATGAATTTGTTAGGATTACTGCTGGTAGCTTGGTGGGTTACTGCTAGTTAGCAGGTTAAGCTAATGTTAGCCGGCAAGGAAAGATAGAGCTCTACAATCTCATTGAATAAATGCACAAAACAGTAGGACTAGCATAAGCCGTGCTTGTTTGTATACAGTCTGTATTTAAAACTACATTAGACAGTTAATTTGTAATGGTTATACTGTGGTTTAGATTTTATGTTTGATGTCAGTATTTTGTAATTTGAACTGATAGCTATATCAATTACACGCTAGTTACAGCTAGCTAGACCTAGCTGTGTAGAGGTACTTTAAAGTTGAGCTGTTTGGGCAAACCTTAGTGTGTGCAGTTTTCTGATAAGTCGTAATTGTTGAATGGTTGTGTTTTGTTGTCGGTTAGTTTTTAACACAACGGTAAGGCTGTGCGGTGTACAGCCACTAAAAACTATGCAGTCACAAGGACAAACCAGCCAAAGCGCGCTAACTTGCTAATACAATTTCGGTGACATTAGAAACTCTGGATCAAGTCTGTGCGCTGTTTACTATATTGCATGCACTACTTGATTAATATTAAGTATGTGGCGTTATTCCTAAAGCTTTGTGGGGATTACTGTTAATACTGAATAGAGTGACAGCGAAGTGCCACGTTATGTTTATTGCTTATCATGATGCGCCCTGCGGGTTCAGCGAACTCATTTTTTTAATGCGCCAAGATTCAGTAATCTCACTTGAGGTTAGTTATCAAGTCAGCAGGGTCTTGGAACTTTGACAGGGGTGAGATTTTATTTATATCACAGCAGCTGCAGATACTCATGGCAGCACAATCTGGTGAACCACAGAATAAACACGCCCACCCCCACAGTGTAACTGCTAAACGAATGCCTACTTTAACCCGAATGCTACGAGTCACAAGGTTTTCCCCCAAAGTGTTTGAGATGAAGGAATAATATCTTCGATCTTTTTTGTGTTACAGTGCCTCCAAAACGTCCCCTCTCTGTTACCTAAGCCATTTTATAGCAGTTGATTTTCTTTTTTTTTTTTTGTTTACACTTTTATTTCCCTAGAAAAGTTGTCTTGTACTCAGACAAAGGGTGCACCACTTTGCAACATCATGCCCACTCAAGGATCCTTACTTTCAGCTGAGGTAATTCCAGGGATGTGAAAAGAAGCTAGAAAAAGTTGCATGGAGACTGACTGACTGGTTTTGGCTTGAGTTTAAATCTTTTTCTGTATTTAAACCAAAGTGCACCTCATTGTTCAGTGTTTTTGAAAAACTCTCCCATAGGTAGAAGCTTAAAAAGAAAAAAAAAATTGGATTTTGTCAGAAGGTAAACTCTGGTCCTTCTGTGCCTTTATTTAGCTGCCCACATTAAAAGGTTTTGACAGAATGTGTTCAGAATCCTGGTTACTGCCCAGCTGGGTTCTTATTACCAGCACTATTCCTGGAAAAAGGATATTTTCTTGTTGATGTTTTCACATCTAGCTTCAACAGTCCATGTTTTCACCTTTCTGGTTGAGTCTTGTTGTATGCTTGATAACACTCAGTCATTTATCGACTGGTGAGTTTACTGTTGGGAAATATTAAAGCCTGCTTGCCACCTGGCAGTTTGCCACCATTAACTGTGTGTAGCTGTGGCCTCATAAAACTGTTCTTGGAGGACAGATGTAGTGACTGTGAGATAATAAAAAGAACAGGATTGAAATTATGGTGATATAAAAATACATCTAGTCTGATTTTCCTGAAATGTGTTTGACATGTAAGGGGTAAATTTTAGCACAAGAGGAAAATAATATTTTTAATGCAACTCTGTGTAATATGTTATCGGCCAAGAGGGTCAAGAGAGACATGTTAGCTTTAGATGCTAACACATCCAGAAGGAAAAAACACCACATCTGAATCAAATCTGAGTCCTTTGGCTGCTTTTAACATTCTCCATGTCAAAAACCCAAAGCAATGTTAACCCTGGTTTTTTGCTCTTTCTTTGTCCCACTCTCTCTAGATACCACCATGCCCTGGGAGGGTCCCATTTGTCATCTCGCCATGGTCACCATGGTGATATGAAGCCAGTCTGAAACATTGACACTCACACGAACAGGTTCACACACAGACTGTCAGTGGTTGACTGATACAGCCAGCCAGCCAGCTCGACAGGCAGGTGTATGTAATGGACAGGTGTAAGCATGTGGGGCGGCTGCGGCTGGCCCCAGACCACTCCATCCTCAACCCCCAGAAGTGGCACTGCGTTGACTGCAACACCACTGAGTCTGTATGGGCCTGCTTGGGCTGTGCTCATGTGGCATGTGGGCGCTACATCGAGGAACACGCTCTGCAGCATTTCCAGCAGCAGCACCACCCACTGGCTATGGAGGTCAATGAACTTTATGTTTTTTGTTATTTGTGTGACGACTATGTCCTGAATGATAACGCCACTGGAGACCTCAAGCTGCTTCGTAGTACACTCAGTGCCATCCAGAGCCAGCGCTATGAGGTCACCACCCGCAGTGGCCGCACCCTCCGTTCTGCGAGCGCTGCCCCCGATGCCCTCATGTCATTAGGGGCCCTCGAGCTGCAGCTGAAGGATGAGGACAGGATGTTTACTGCCCTCTGGCACCGTCGCAGGGCGCTTATGGGATGTGTCTTTCGCTTCTGGTTTGGACTGACTGAATGTGGAAAGAAGAGGGAGGAAGAAGAGAGGAAGAGGGATGTTCTTTCATCTTATGGAATATCCTCACATAAAGGGGATCAGTCCATTTGTTGAAGCCTCCTGTTCATTTTGTGAAGCCCATGTTTCACAAATGAAATGCATTTGTTTAGTAGTGTATTTGAGAACAAACCCCACAAACCTCCATTCAGTTGGTGACGAATCTCGTTGCAATCGCGGATTTGTTCCGCGACCCGTCTGGCCATGGCGTCATAGGCGTCGTGGAGTTGCAAAAACATTTTAGATTTAAGGCTTCTTCCTAGGCAGTAAGTGCAATAAGTAATAACAATAACCTTTAAGCTCAGCAACCCAACGTACAGGCATCCTGTATACATACACAAATGGTAGACCTCTGTGGTTCTCTGAGTAACCAGAAAAGAAATAAGATCATACATTAAGTTCAAATAACAAAAATGAAGCTTAACACATGTTTTTATTGGTTAGATAAGGCTTCCCAAGTTCCATTTCTGCACTCCTGGCAATGGTCCCTGTGAAACAA